AAAATGAAGCCAAGTAGGAAATAAGCTGAGGCAGCACATGAATAGCACGGATCTCTTCTCCTGTGTGTTGGGGTCAGAATGAAGAATGCAGCAGGATTTTGACTTTTTGCTTCATGAACTATAATGACTCCCTCTCCCCCTTCCTCATTTTCTCTGGGAATAGTGATAAGGGAAAAGGATCTGTAGCTCCAGCTACAAAAAGGGCAGCAGAAATAATCTTGTTTCATTTCCAGTCGGTTTTCTTCCCTGTTCCCCTTGCCTTCTCTTCTTCCTACTTTTCTTTAAACATGACCAGCCGGTCTGAGTGGAAGTGTCAGCAGAGTCTGGCATTTTCATTTGTAGCAAGGGCTCAATAAATAATAATCCTCAAAATTGAAATTCTGCCTTTTTGCAAAATATGCATTTCATAAAGAAGCTGCTTTTTATGTGCTAAATGAGAATCTTCTAAGGAGAGGGGCCTCCCGAAACGCAGGGGTTGCCGGGGCTGTCTTTATACATCTGCACTGAAAAATAGGCAAGCGGGACAGAATACTATTTTCAGATAAAAGTATGTTTCCCCCTGCATTTTCCTTTTTCTGTTCCCCCATTCAGTCAGTCAGCTGAGCACGTTCCTTGTTGAACTGGGGGAAATACGAGGCAGAACACTATGAAACAGTCCTTAGGAGAACTTGTGACCTGCAGGCTCCATCTGGCCTCAGATCGTCTAGTTGTGCCTTTTCAAGATATTGATCTGTACAGCATTTTGCCAAAATTTACATTTGCAGACATTTAAAAATCAGGAGACTTTACATAAAAATCTGGCTTTCTGGCTTTCCTTTCAAAATGGAAAGAAAGCAAGCAACTTCTTTGGCCCACCTGGCAACAAGCAGCTGGATCTGAATTGCAGAGCTGCATTTAGAGTGGTGTGTGTGTGTGTGTGTGTGTGTGTGCGTGTGTGTGTGTGTGTATTTTTTTTTTTTAAAGATGACTGGTAAGGGGATCTTAACCCTTGACTTGGTGTTGTCAGCACCACAATCTCCCAATTGAGCGAACCGGCCATCCCTATATAGGGATCTGAACCCGCGGCCTTGGTGTTATCAGCACCATACTCTCCCGAGTGAGCCACGGGCCGGCCCTAGAGTGGTATATTAATTAGCATAACATGGGCTGCTGTAACAAACAGCCCCTCAGATTTCAGTGGCATAACATGAAAGAAGTCAGTTTCTCACTTCTGTGTGACAAGTCTGGTGCAGGTGACTCAGAGACCCGGGCTCCTTCCTTGCTGTGACCCCACCATCCCTGAGGGCCTTGCAGTCTTCTGTTTTTAGCCTGTGTAATGGGAAAAAGAAAGTGGAGAAGCCCATGGGTTTCTCAGCCACTTTGGCCAGAAGGTGACACACATCTCCTTTGCTCCCATTCCATTGGGGGACTCAGTCACACGGCCTGCCTAGATGCAAGGGGAGCTGGGAAACGTGAAGAGGCTGGGCAGCTGCTTCCTGCTGACACATCTGTGCCATGGGTGGGGGCACAAATGTGTGGTGTGCATATGCACTCAATTCACCTACTGTCCTGTGTGTCCCTGCATGGATCCTGGAGGCATTCGAGTTTGTGGCTCTGGTTTAAGGTGTTTCTGGATAGTGTGTGGAAGAAACATAGTAAGAAATGGATTTTCTGTACAATGAAAAAGAGATTCCCCTGGGCTGGGAGGAAGAGAGAGAGACAGAGGCCAGTGGGTCCCAAGGCAGAGGGTACCTGTGACCTGCTTCCCTGAATTACCAGCAGGATCCCAGAGAGAAACAGCTGCACGGCATGTGTTAGCAGATGCGACGGTAACCACATCCAGCCCACCCCAAGTTCCTGCGTCCCTGGTGGAACACAGAAGTAGCCGAGAGCTAATAGACTAAAGCAGCCATGTAAACCTGTACAGTGGAGACAACTCAGCCATATCTGGGGACAGCGGACCCAATGGATGTGCAGTCCCTTCTCCCAACCCACTCCACGGGACTGTGTAAATCCCTGGGGTTAGGAAGGATGCAGGCTAACTCCTTTACTACCCGGTAGATTAGCTGCTAGAGGTCTAAAACTAAGTTACTATATGAAATAATGCATATGTGACAATTCTTGCACGCCTGAGTTTATGGGCTGAGATTCAATACTTTCTATTCAATTCGGCAATTTTCTAACTGAAGGTAATCAGGAAGGCAGTGACCTTGCTCATTTCAGCTGTCAAAGGACAAAATTACAACAAATTTAGTTAAAGATATCAACTGGCTTTATTGCAATTCTAGAATTGGGCAACACATCATTCCATAAAACAGAATAAGTGTTCCAATGAGCTGAGAAAAAGAGGTTGGCTTTATAGACAGAAAAGGCTGAAGAAAGCAGAAACAGAACAAAAGGCACATTGGTCATTTCAAAGTTACTTTCCTTGTAAGGTTGGGCCAGGGAGACAGAATAGAAAAATACTGATTATTTAACATCAGGTTACTACTTTTGTGTAAGGATTAAAACAGGGGGAGCTTCATTACCATGCCTCTCGAAGATCGAAACTGGCCTGCTTGCGGGGTTTGCCCCCTTATGCAAACACCCAAGTCAAGTGTTCGGATCGCCTTACCGGCCAGCTACCAAAACCCAAACCAAAACAAAAACCAAAACTGGCCTATTTGGGAAACGGGCTGTTAACTCTCCTGATTCCTTGGAAGGTCAAACAACAACTTAGTTTGGGTTTGGCGATGTTGGACCTTAGTGGGGTGACTCCATTTTAATTTTCTGGTGTGTTCTGTTGGGGACTAGTGCAGGAACTTAGTCCAAATCAATGGCCTTCTATACTTTTTGCTTTTTAATCTTTGAGACTTTTTTATTTTTTAAAACTTTAAAGAATTTTTGTCGATTATACATATTCATGGAGCACAGAGCTGACCGTCAGCACCTGTGCCCAGGATGTCTGGCACAGCTTTTCCTGGACACTTTGCCCTCCAGCTCCCAGACCTGGAGCGGCACCTCTGCTCCCAGCGCCCTCCGGCCCACACACTTGGTGCAGAAAGCACACGAAAGCCAGCCCCTGTCCGATCACAGGCCTTCTTGCAGTCCTCCTTGGGGTCCTTGCACGTGCAGATTCCTGGGGCATCAATTTAACTGAAAGACTTCGGAAAATGTTCTTATATTAAAAGAAACTAGGCTAAGTCATGGAGTAGGAAGCAAAATTCACATTAAAAAGTATGACACAATTCCAGATTTCAAAGAAACTTCTTTCTTGCAGGGAAGGGGCCTCCGTTTCAGAGCCCCCCGTGAGTCTCCACTGCCGTTCTCTTGAGACGGACCCTTGTGTGGAAAAGTGTGAGCAGCTCTGGCCCCGTGCACGGCAGGCCGGGCCCAGGGCGCCCTGCCTCCAGCTGCAGCTGCGGCTCCCCACGGTTGTCACGTTTTCGTCAACATCTCCTCACGTTTCTACATGCACAGCTTGCAGGCGGGGGAGCAAGCCGACAGCTGTCGCCAGGTTAGTTCACAAAGGAGGAAATGGAGAACCGGCGACTTTAAAGGGCTTGCTTGGGGGGCAGCCAGCTGTCCCAGGCAAGTGCTCCTGCCGGTGTCCTTGTCCCCTCCGTCCTTCCATCCTGCAGGAATTCGGGGCCCACGTGCAAGTGCAAAGACCCTCGTCCGCGCCCCCAGCCCCGGCCTGTTCCTCACGCTGTGCCTCCATCCTCGGGGGTCCTGCCTCCCCCCGGGGGTATCTGGCGCCAGTGGGGCTGCTTAGAAGAGTTTGAACTAATGACTGCTGGTTCTGGAGCAAATGCATCTAGAGCCTGGCCCGGGGTGGGGGCGACCCGGCATCTGCCCGTCGGCCAAGGTCCGGGTTGGAGGACCGGAGCCGGCCTGACGGAGGGCCCGGGGCAGCCTCCGCCCGCCGCCCACGGCCCTCGGGTGGCGCCGAGCGGCCGGCTGGTGCAACCTCCCGCGGGCCTTGCGTTGATCAACAGGGCGGGGGGCGCCGCAGCCACGGCAGGAGGAGCAACGCGGTCCCGGCCTCGGCCCGGGAGCACGACCAATAGCGATGCGAGCTCTTTTGCGCGAGCCAATCAGCACAGGGCCTGCCACAGCGCGGGCCAATGGGGCGCCGGCTGTGCTGCAACGAGGCAGCGGTGGGAGCCGCAGCAGCACACGCGCGCCGTCCACGCCACCATCGCCTCG